GAAAAAAAAAAACCCAAAAAAACCAAATATTTTTTTAAAAGTTTTTTATGGTTTTTAATTAGATGTCTTGTTTTGCTTCGGGTATGGGGGGGGCCGGGGGGGGGGGGGGGGGGGAGGTTCTTCAAAACACTATTGGTTTTATTTGGTTTTGTTTTTTCCCCTGTTTGATAATCCCTATTACTTGAAATGTTTACTACCCCCTTGCGACATATCCTCACATTTATATTCACCCATTGTCATGAGGAGAGGAACTATGGGTGATTTTGTCTGCATAATAATTTTTCTTATTGTTAGCCTTTGCTACTGAAATGATTTTTCCTTTACATGCAAAGGCACTGTATTCTACATAAATGTAGACACAATTTTTCTCCCTGATCCTCTTTTTTCCAAATGACCAATAATTTCTCAAAAGTCAAATATTGACCCCCTTGAGTGAAAGGGGATTCCTCTGATTGCCACTTACCATGCATTTCTACTGTGGATAAGATTGTACCTCTTTCAAGATGGGTACTGAGGACACTTCCAAAATAACTCCTGTCTTAAAACAAAAGCCCCGCATATCAATTAAGATATCCCTTGTGCCTATATTTCAATGAAGCAGCAATTTACTACAAGACAACAGGCTTAAAGTTTTTAATAGACAATCTAAGACTAATGATTAATGGTAATAAATTTTATCTCCTGAACATGCCAATTTTAACGAAACAAAAATAACATTAAAAAAACAATTAACAAAGAAATGTACGTTCCTATTCATTCATCAATTTCTATTTAAACATAAAAATTCAAAAATACTTCTGAATACTAACATTATTAAACACGAACTACTGAAACATCAAATTTCAGTTAATAATCAAAATTAACTTAAATAACAACCACTGTTCAAATTTATTGTTACACAACTCAAGTGTTCTCTATTATCCTCAAGTAACCAACTGAGTACATAAATTGTTCTTATTTTCACAATAAATCTGCTCACACTGTCCAGAACAAATTGATCATTTCTTCATCTTCACCAAAGAAACAGCATGCCCCAAGTTATCTCAATAATTTTTTCCATATTCAGTGGTATTGAATAATGATCGTTACATCTACATTTCTTAGAAAAAATCTCTTGTTGATTTTTTTCTTAACTGTATAACTGCTTCCATATTTGATACAGTTTTGAATTTTTTTTTCTCTTGAACATTTTTTAGGGTGCTTTATCTTTAGTCACTCATCATCATAAAATTAATATTGTACATTTAGTATATGTCTGTAAGTGACAACAAGAAGTCACCAACCACATAATCATTTTTCTCCATATTGTACTATAATGTCTCCCTACTTGGCCATTTCCTTGAGATTTTTAATATTTAGTTGTCTTATTTGCAGTTACTCCTTTTGTTGTTAGAAACTCGCCTAACTCTTTGCTCATTAAGAAGACTCTGTGATGACAATCAGGATATACGCTGGCATTCCCACAAGCGACAAAGGTGAAGTAAAGCACTTCATAACAGTTGTTTTCCAACAATCACAACTTGGAAAGATAAATGGAATAATTGAATACTGACATCAACCACCACCAGCAAGGACTTCTTTCCGTTATTCACTAGCGCAGGCCCTTTCAAATCAACATTAATCCTCTTGAATTGCTCAGTGGCCTTGAAGATGAGAAGCATCTCATGGATATTATGCTTGGCTTTACTTTGACAACAAATAGGGCATTACCTTGTCATTGTATTTATCTTCTCAATAGAATAAGCTAGATGTAAGTTCTTCGTTTCCACAAAAAAGTTTTGTCTGCTTACTCATTCACACCATGGCGATTACTGGAGGTTGTAAAGTCACTCTTTTGTTCCAGTTGCACACATCATTCTAGAGAGTATGTGAGAGTTGATGTTATTTCTTCGATACTGGTATATGATTTCAAATTATAACAAGACAGTTAAAGTCTCCAACACAAGAATTTTTCATTGTTTATCTTTCATCTGTGATCGTTGTGTAAAATGTAGAATACTTATTTCTGATTTTATTTTAGAATAAAGTGTTTTCCAGTGAACAATGTTCTTTTAACACACTCTCTTATAACCTGTGCTTCTTTCTCTATTGACGTGTGCTTAAGCTCACTACCTTCTTTGCCTCGTCCTCCATTCTTGTTTACCATTGCTGCTACTGCTACTTCTGATGTATCCATGTCAAGTTCAAATCCAATACCCTCATGAAGTGCAATAACTATGGCATTTTCAATCTTCCTTTTTTTTTTTTTTTTTCTTCCTTTTAAGTCANNNGTCTTGTGATTTGTTTCTTATTACTGTTTTTTTCGTGTCTATTCTTTTTTTTTGTTTTTGCTGGAGTCGCGACGTGTGTTCTCGTTTTGTTTGTTGTTGGCCTGTTCCCCCTTTTTTTTTCCTTCTTTTTGCCTTTTTTTTTTTTTTTTTTTTTTTTTTTTTTCTTCCTCTTAAGTCAGAGTACACTTTTCATGAATGTGCGTTATAAATAGTTTAGTGTTCGTTGTTGCACAATATGCTGTAATCCTAGCTCTCAAACTGCAAAACCTTATGAAGATGATCCAATACATTCTTGTCAGATTGGTTTTTTTAATAGTTGTTTGTTCCTCAAAATCTGTAAAACAAAAAAACAAAAACAAATAGTAAGATACCCTGTTGCAGGCATTAATCAAATCATAGAATGCAAGGGAAAAATTGAGAACCCATTAAAACAACAAGAGGTCTCCCCTTACTTCCCTCCTCCTTTCCCAAAAAAAAAACTTAACTTTCTTCCCACGATCTAAACCCTATTTACTACTACAATCAAATCTCTACGTGTGACCACCTCCACAATAAACTCCAATCACTTTTTCAGCCTCAATTATTTTCTATTCTTTTTATCCTCGTGTAAGTGACTACTAATTATAAAATAAAAACATTTTCTTATAACTATTTTCACTGTTGGCACTGAATTACTTAGAATATAGGAAGAACTCTAGCAACAACATGGAACTACACGTGGCATAGCTGCTCTTTGCATTCAGCGTGGTCACTTACGAAACGTTTGACTCTATTTCTCCCATTCAATGTTTTGAAAACACTAAAAAAAAGAAACAGATATCTTTATTACATTACTCAATGACTCTATACTGGAACACTAATGTAACTTACCTTCAATGATAGGAAGAAAACTCCATTACAAACAATCCCACTAATTGTGGGATAGTCTAATAATTGAACATTTTCTATAACTAACTATGCTATATGTTATTGAAATCGGTACTTTGTTTAAAGGATTTCTGACAATAACAATCAAGTCAATTATCTAATATTAGTATTATAAACACTTTCTGTCAAAATGATTACTGACTATTTTTCCTGGATAGATGAATCAGCAATATTAGTATTTACACTTCATCTAATCAGTGTACATTTACTCTCATTTTAACAGCCTCATGATCAGAATAATAACATGAAATTACTGAGTGTTCAACCATTGGCAATGCAACTGATTTCACATAAACATGGTCTAATAGACTTCCAGAAGAAATAGATGTAGGACTCTGAACAACTTGTGCATAGTTAAGAGAATTTGTCAATAATTGTAGTCCTTTCATGTCATCATTACTGAAGTAGTTTATGTTAAAATCACCAAGAAGTATGTCAACATTATCACAGAGAAGAAGATATCGAATGCCCTCTACAAAATCTGAGATATTACTCCTCTGCTTTCTATATAGGAGAACAATTGTTTGTTGAAACTCCGTGTTTGTGTCAAGAGCAACAAACTTAACAGCATTTAGAGCTAGAAAATATTCATATTGTCTAATTTCAACATTGCTTTTCGGACAAAGAGCTAAACTACAAAATTTATCAGAAACATGATCTTCCCTGTGTAATGTATATGGTAAATTGTCTCTTATTTGCTTATCATCAATTTCTGGAAGAAGTTGTGTTTCAGTTAGCAATAGTAAATCACTGTCATTTATATTCCCATCAAACTTTATGTCTACACTGTGTTTTAGAAGAGACCTAATATTTAGAACAGTTATTATAATACTTTCCTCATTCTTCCTAACAATCGCTGGTTTGTCAATAAAACTAGTCTTTCTTAGTCTCTCATATTCTTCATGTACCTTTGAATTTACCCTGACATGTTTGTCTTCTATGTCTCCGAGTATATGTATACCTTCTAACGTTTTACATCGACTAATTGCAACGTATATTTGCCCATAGTTAAAATATTTCTGACCATGGAGACTAAAACTGACAACAATTTTGTCTAATGTTAACCCTTGAACTTTATGTACAGTACAGGCCCATGCTAATGTTATAGGAAATTGTACTCTCTGTATCTCTGGGGATGATGTCTTTTCTGGTCTTACTTTAAATCTTGCTAATATTGGCTCAATGGGTACAAAGTTATTTTTTTTAGCAAACTGGTTATTAGATTTGTTAATAAGATTTTTTCCAGCTTTGCTATCATCAAATTTAATGTAGATAATAGTTGGGTTTTGAGTCATCGGACTGACATTTATTCTCATTATAGTACCAAGTTGTCCATTTATTAATCTGTCTGCAATATCAATATTCGTTGTAAGCATTACTCTCGCTGTTTCTTTAACGCTGATTTCAAAATCAAGACCCCCTGTCTCAGATCTTTGCCTTCCAAGTAAATTCTCAATTTCTTGTTCTGAAACATTTGCTGGATATTGATCTGTTGCTCTCAAGTAGAATAAGGGCTTATTAATTTCTTGTAATCTCATGTTGTTATATTGATTGACAGGATTGTTCTCAGCCCATATGTGTAGCACATCATGGGGATAATTAGGATCTGATGAATTTATTGATCTAGACTGAATAAGCTGAATGTCTTCATCAGTCTGTGATCCAACTCTGAGCCGTTTTAAAAGATCTGTGAATCTCTTGTCATCTTTTTGTCTGATAACTTTTCTCAGCTCAATCATTTGAAAAACATGCCAAGGGTGACAAATATTTAAAGTATCGTCTTTATAATTTTCAAAAACAGGTTTACTGCGTATTGGCTCCAATTGAAATAAGTCACCAGCCGCAATTATACTTTTCCCACCAAACAAAAGTGATCCAGAAGTGCCAAATATTTCTTGTAACCGTTGATGAATATGAAGCAAAGTAACGTTTGATACCATTGAAATCTCATCTATTATTAACAACTTTAGCTCAGATAGTAATAGTCTCATTTGCGTCTTTTTTGGGTCTGACATAGCAGGTAGTTTATAACCTGCATTCTTGGGAATTGCAAGAGCACTATTTATAGTTGTCCCTTCAATGTTTATTGCAGCTACCCCAGTTGGTGTCATGAGCAGCACTGTTGGTCTTTCTAGATTTGTAGGAGCATACCTAAACGTTTTTGTTACAGTATGATATATAGTTTTAATCAAGAAACTTTTGCCACACCCTCCACCTCCACTTAGCAAGAGGTAAATTGGTTTCACTGCTTTTGGCCTCAAACTGTTCAAATTTTTCATACTGTCTCGATCTACACCATGAAAATACAATATCAAATGCTTCACGTTGCTCACTAGTTAACGATCTAACTGATTCACGTAATTGGTCATCAGACACTTCACTTGGCTGATTATGAATTATTAATGCATCCCATTTTTATTTTTAGTACTTTGACATTGTACATCAAAATGCGAAGGCAACTGTTCATTAAAACAATCTTCTGATTGTTCTTCTTCTGCATCTAACTGTATATCTTCATTTTCTTGATCATTAATGCAATCAAATGAG